TTTATTTAAAAAAAATGAAATAATTCATGAGTTTTTTTTAATATTTTAGTGTAATAATTAATATTAACGGATTCATATATAATATATACTAGGTCTTTTGGCCTGTGCTTCACACTATTAGTCTTTTTATCTTTAAAAATACTTAAAAAATATATATGTGCATAAATATTCGTGTGTAAGTATGCACATACATAAAAGTTTTCTAAATTCTAAAAAACTTCTCTTTAAAAAAAAAATCAATTCATATTACTTTATTGAAATAAAAATTAAAATATAAAAAAACTAAATTAAAAAAGTAATAAACTAAAAAATTAAAAACATTATTATAAATGACAAATGAAATCATAAAACCTACAAAAGAAATAAAAGTGAAAAATCATTAAAATTTATTTATATTATTTATTTTTTAAAGATTTATTTTCAAATTTAATTCATGAAATCTGCAATATAATTCTTACAACAATTGCAAATCGTAATTGCCTCTCCAATGTATATTGATTTCAAACATCTCGGGTAGTGATTAACTTCCTCATAATACCAGCCACAACAACAGGAGAATTTTTCATTCATCATATTAGGATTTTCCATCATTAACAAGAGGAGAAGAAACAAAGAAAAAGAAGAAGGAATGAATAGGAAATAATAGGGAAAAAATGGGGAAAAGAAGAAAGAAATTAAAAAAAAAAAGCTTGTAATTTTTAAACCTAAATTAATGCAAAAAAAAGTTTGCCATTTCTAATGTGTCAAGCCACATCAAATAAACGTTAGGATTTAACGGTTTACTAACCCAAAAAAATAATAATTCAAACATTAGTGATGAAATTGAAAAAGTTAATAATACTTTGGGGGTCATTTTAAAATGATCTTTATAGTTAAGTGGCTATTTGTGCAATTTACCCTTTAGTATTAATGTTTTTATTATTCTTATTTTTTATGATAATGATTTTTTTCATTTCAAATTTACATTTTAGCCAATTGGAGTATATTATAATTGATAGATTGACTTTTGAAATAGATGATTGAAAGATCAAAAATTGTGCTTGTCAATTATGGGATATTTATAATTATAAGACTAACTAACATGTTGGTACAAAAAATATGTAAATAAATTTATTTTTTTATATTTTTTGTTTCTATTATCTTGAGATTTAATTTTGTCAAATAAATTTATTTTATCATTTTTGGTACTTTCGTAGATATTTAATATTCATAGTTTTATTTGAAATCATAATGCATGTCTACAAAGAATAAGATTCATGAAAAGGGTTGTTGCGAATAAAAAAGATAATTGGGTAATTGCTGTAAATGATAGTATGATTCATTTTGCTATCATCAAAGATATGCTTGATGAATTAGTAAATACTCAATGACACATTTTTACTTTATAGCTTATGGTTGTTTTGACAAGCGTTCAACTAATACAAAATATTTTTAACATCTATATTCATTTTTGTTTTGACAAGCGTATAATTGAGTAAATATTAGATATTATTAGTGTTTTTCTTCACATGGATTTGTCTCACTGTTAAACTGTTGGTGATATATCTATAAATTGTTTAGTATTATGCCTACATTTAAGGTGTTATTTTTTATTTTAATATTTGTTATATTGGTAATACTATAAGAAAGATGATTTGTTTAAAAATTTTTTAACTTTTTTATTATTATTAGAAGTAAATATCATTTTAATCATTTCTTTTTTTCTTTAGCGAAAAGTTTGTAAAAGTTAGTTTATATACAAGTTTGTTTCTAAATTTAAATAGAAGCAATTAACTTTGGGAAAACATATAGTGAAATAATTACACCCTTTATCAAATATCTCTTCGATGAAGGTATTAACAAGAAAATAAATCATATCATTTGCAACAATTACCCAACAATTATTTATATTTTTACAATAAAAAATTTTGATATAATATCAACCACTTTCATTTCATATTTTTATTCTTCAATCGATATATATATATATTATACGACTTCAAAGAATATCAAGAATATAAAATCTTTACATTAATATAAAATCGATAAAATAAATAAAAACTTAAAATAAAAACAAAAATAAATATAGTTATGTTGCTTTTTATCAACCAATATCAATTTTGTATTAAAATGTTATTTAATATAAAATTTGATCATCTAATCATTTTTTTCAAAAGTTAATTTAATAATCGTAATATATTTTAATTGACTAAAAGACAAACTTGAAATGAAAGAAAAATCATGAATATAACAACAAAATAATAAATAATAAAAATGAAAACACTAAAAAAAAAAATACCAATCGACTAAAACAACTTAAAATGTCAAATAAAAAATCATATATCATGATTAAAAAATAAAAAAATAATTTTCAAAATACAAACACAATAAAAAAAACCTTATAATTTTGAAAAAAAATGTAATACAAATATAAAATACACTTATATAACCTTTTTATCCCTATAAAGGAGATGGAAAACTATAAATTATAAGAAAATTAAAAGTAAAAAATATAAATATTAAAAAATCAAAGGTTTCAACAAATTTTAACAAATAATGATTTTAAAGAATATGAATAAAAGAAAATTCAAAGTTAATAATGCATATAAATGATAGGCAACATTTTTATAACAAAATTAGGAGATATAAATTTAGAATTTATGTGTAAAAAACTTGGCATTTTATTGTAAAATGTTTGAGTTTTATATAATTATATAATATGATGATTTATTAATTAATGACTTCAAAAGAATTCAAATATGGATAAATTTTTAACTTGTAAAATACATGAAAAAAATATAGATGTCCCATGTTTTCATAATTAAAAATATTTTTTATATTTAAATTTAAATTTATATTCATTTTTATTTTTATAAAATTTATTTTCGTTTTCAATTATTAAAGATGTTTTCATTTTCATTTTTTATTTTCTAAAAACAAAAAACCTCTATTCCTTAAAGCCAAACCTACAAAATTTTTAAAAACAAAAACCAAAAGATAAAAAATAAAAATTGATGCCAAATTGGATCTTACTTAAGGTCCATTTGAATAGACGATGAGATTAAAAATAATAGTGGAAGTGAAATTAATTACTATAATGGTGATATTAAAATAAGTGGTAATATATATGCTTAGATGCAAACGTAACAATAGCGATGAAATAAAGTGTAATGAAAAAAATGACTATTAAGGATATTAGATTAAAACTTATATATAATAAAATTTATAATAAATATTTGATATTTTTAAATTAATAAATAACTAAAAAGTATTAAATTATTTTATATCAAATAATATTTTATTAATAAGTTGAAAATTAGTAAAATTATATTTATATAAAATAATATTTTTAGTATTAATGTATATATATTAATATTATTTAACATTTAAAATCTTAAATTTTTATTTAATAAATAGTGAAATATTTTTTAGATTAAAAAAATATATTAAGGCTGAAAAATGTTGAAATTGTTAGAGTTTTAAAATTAGGGCATTTTAAAAAATATATTAAATTAAGAGGGATAAAATTTGTTCAATTTAGGGTATACTACTTCACTGGACCATTCTTCCTCCAATGAAATTTAACTCTTTTTATACGGGTCAAATGATCCAATCGCACCATTACTTTAATATCTAAATTCTTATTAATAATAAAATTAAAATAAAAAGTAACTTAAACGTACTGAATTGATAGTTTAATGAAATCCAAATGAATTCAAATGAATCCTTAAATTTTTAACAAAACGACGGACAATTGGTAGTTGGAAACCCCATTCACATATGTGCAAAATCAACACATGGCCCCATGTGCGCATGCATCTATAAAGTGCCACGCGGCACTCTGATAATCAGAGGCAGAGCAACGGCACGGCCTGCTCTGGCGCTCCGATCCTTTGCTCGCTTCCGTATGTGCCTTCAATTATATACTCCCAATAGGATATAACATTCCATGGTAATGCAGAATTCCAACAATTTCAAGTCAAATATAAGGTGTTAGACAATAATTAACAAAAAGTTCATTTTTTTCCAAGTAATAACAGTGCCTCCTAAGCGCTTTGTCACATTATTAGAGGACGGATAATTCGATCAGCCCTTTAACACTTGTTAAGCCTAATATGAAGCCTAGCTAAGCTAGTTAGGCCCCACAGGCCACGAGGCAGCGCCAAAGTGAGCACATGAACCATGCGAGATGTGACTTATCCAAGAATAGACATCAGATATAGTACATCTTAAAAGGAAACCAAAGGCAGAGGTAATCGTGCTCCTGGGCAAAACATTTAATTGCAGCCAAGAGTTATTACTACTTTACTCCGTTTACTGTATAATTTTGGAGTACAAAAGGAAATTATACTATTTTGGTGGTGGCGATGGTGGTCCTCACTCCAGAGCTCAGACCATCCATCCAGGATCTCTTCAGTTTCATTTGACCACAACGTAATTTCGTCGCCTTAGGACCACACAAATTTCATTATTTCATTTCGGTCTTTCTCTAAACCAGGGACAGATACAAAGAAGATAGAATCCTTAATTTCTTATACAAGAAAAATTAGCCGATCCACCAACTCTTGACCCCAACTGTCGGCATCGCATTATTCCATGTGGGTTTTTTTTTTTTTTGTTTTTTTCCAATACAAATTCTTAAATCTCTCGTTACTAGTTACCATCCTCAGGCATTTCTGAGAAATTCATGCATTTTAAGGTTAATTTCATTTAAATCCTTTAACAGAGTTCCTTCTTAATTGTAACAAACGTGGTATATGATTAACGCTGTCTTGAGTCCTGACTTGATTAGTACTGTTGTTTTACTGTCAATCGGGGGAAGAAAAATGTACAAGTAAAAAACAATAATAGTAATAGAAGTAATAATTGAAACAAGTTCATATAAGGAGTATATTATAATGGTTATGTCCCTATCTCCGCCCTCAATCTCCCAATACCCTTGGTGTAGAGGTCTTTCAAAGGTCAGTCCATTGCGTCCAATCATCTTTGCCGATTAATATAATTAGTGTGAATGTGCAAATATCATGCGCGTCCTTCCGCCCTTGTTTCCTGCTTAAATGTCTACTGCTCCTGCTCTACTTGCTTTCTATAAATAGAAGCTAGTCTCATTCATCTGCAAGTGTAAACCCTGGCCTTCTCTCTCTCTCCTCTTCCCTCTCTGTTAGAGCAAACCCAAAAAAAAACTTCATTTTGAGTTCCAGAAAGAAAGAAGATGGAGGACTCCCTTACCCTTTCTTTGACTCTAAAAGTGATCTCTACTCTTGCTCTTACGGGAGTGGTTTGCTTCTTGGTTCATCTCTATTATACCATGTGGTTCATGTCGGAAAGGCTGAGGAGGAAGCTATGGGTGCAGGGTATCAAAGGTCCATCACCTACATTTATATACGGTAACCTGCCAGAGATGCAGAAGATCCAATTGAAAAGCGTCAGGTCGACTCCTAATAATGCTGAAATTGTTGCGCACGACTATACTTCTTCTCTCTTCCCATATTTCGTGCAGTGGAGAAAGGAATACGGTAACACCCTTCCTTCCAGAACATGTTCTTTCTTTTACTTAATTATGTTCATCATCTTTACTCACTACAACTTAATTAATTTCTTCAATATTACTTAACTACTTCTATGCTGAATATATAAATGAATAAACATACTCTACAAGAGATCAAATCATTCGCTATATATATATATATGTATCTATCTAGGTAACTCTTATTTTGTTTGTCTCGGGTCTATTTGTTGTAGCCAGAAATCAATGACTGAAATGTTTCTGCAATTTTGTTCATACTTAGACGCTCCTTTTACAACTCTGCCGTTCTCTTATATCACTGTACCATTGCCTTATCATATGCTACACCATATTGTATCCATCATTCCTTTTTCTTTAATTTGCAATTTCGTTTTCAAAAATCTGTGTCAAAATAGAACGGAAACAGGCTACTGATGTAATGTGCTCATAGCATCACTACCTTAAATCTAATTTCCTTTCTCAGGAGCTTACAATTACTATACGATATCCGATGAAAAGCTTTCTCTCATGATTTTTTTATTGGATAATCTTGACTTTTAAGAGCTAACACCATGGGATCTCTGAATTGAATATTGCGGGAAGGAAAGCCAACACTATTTAATTTAAAGAAAATAGCAGCCAAGACCAACTTCAGACAAGCAACTTTCATCGGCTACTCCAAAGTTGGTAACTTGAACTATAGAAAACAAATTGTTTTATGTTTATGACATGAATGAACTAGACAGGGTGGGTGACAAGGACTTGAAGTAGTGTTATATATTTTTATGATTGGGACTACTCATAAGATATTTAATCTTTTCTGCAATATTAGTATTTGAAAGGAGCCTATGGTAATTGGTCTAAGTCCTTACGGCCAAGCCACGAATCTGATCATAGCATTAATCTTCTGGAATTTGAACTGCCACGAATAGAGCTGGCATTGCTGGGGTAGACGCGGATTTTCAGTCAACTCTGTGTTTCAGACGTGACCCCATTCATTAATAATTAAATTCTCCGGCCGCTTCGCAACAAAATATCAAAATCCAACACATGTATTTGTTTGGTCAACCAGTCAGAGCACATTTGCGACCCCATAACATCGTTGGCCTCCTTTTTTTTCCCTTTTGCTTTATAATTTTTGTCCATCCATAGTATACGTGGCGCGTGTAAAAGATAGGAAATTTCTTTCTGCTCATTCACAAATTTACATATTGATTATCTAAAAAAAATGAATATCAATCAAGCTAAATTTGTATTTCTGAAAAAATGCAGGTCCGATATACACGTATTCAACAGGGACAAGGCAGCACTTATATGTGAACCAGCCAGAGCTAGTGAAGGAAATGAACCAATGCATTAGTTTGAAATTTGGTAAGCCTTCTTATATAACTAAGAGACTGGCACCATTGCTCGGCAATGGCATTTTGAGATCCAATGGCCTCGTTTGGGCACAGCAGAGGAAAATCGTTGCACCTGAGTTCTTCACGGACAAGGTCAAGGTAAGTGTGTCGGAACACTAAAAATAATTCACGTGCACGCTGCAATGATGAATCAATGCATTTAAAAATCTTGAGCGTATCTATTCTAATGCAAACCCCTTTTGATACCTGAATTGGCTAATTAAGCAGCTGATGGTGGGGCTAATGGTGGAGTCGATACAACCTCTTGTAAGAAAATGGGAGGACTGCATTGAGGCACAAAATGGTCTGATGGCGGACATTAGAGTGGATGAGGATTTGAGGGGCTTCTCGGCAGATGTCATCGCTAGAGCTTGTTTTGGGAGCTCGTATTCTAAAGGCAAAGAGATTTTTTCCAAGCTTAGGAAACTTCAAACAGCCATTTCCAGGCAAAGCTTCCTTATCGCAGTTCCTGGCTATGGGTACGTTATGTGCTTTTTCCTCGTCTGTTGATGAGTTTCAGATAAGTCATCAGTCAAATTATACACACACACACACATCTATATTAGAGTCGGCTTTCTTCTAAGTTTTCATTACCTTGGCTTCTAAAGAAAGCCACATTCTTTGGAATTAATGACGTACGTCTCTAATTTGCTACGGACCTTCGACAACGGAATGATCGTTACCTGGCGCTCAGCTAAACTTTAGTATGTCTTGCTATTTGATACTAGTCTCCATTTGAATGCCTTATTTCATAAGGAGGCAGGCAGGGCAGCAGACACTGACAATAAAGAATTTACCTTTGATTCCTCTTTCTTCTTTCAGGTTTAATTCTCCTGCATATATATGAGCTAATCTATACTTTACGAGAACAATTGATGGAAAGTTCAACATTTTGCAACCACCCTTTAGTTTGATACCCTTTGTCTCTCAACTACGATTACAATTTACAAATTTTATATGCCACTATTTACAGCTTTTTTTCTCACTCATGCAAATGTAGACTTCTGCCAATGAAGAAGCAAAATGAGATCGTTAGCTTGGAGAGAGAGATAGAGTCACTAATTTGGAAAACAGTGAAAGAGCGAGAAAGAAAATGCGAAGAGGCATCTTCATTAGAGAAGGATTTATTTCACCACATACTAGAAGGGGCCATGAATGATCAAAGTCTTGGTAAGGATTCATCCAAGGGCTTCATAGTCGATAATTGCAAGAATATATACTTTGCAGGCCATGAGACTACTGCTGTCGCAGCCTCCTGGTGTCTCATGCTACTTGCTCTGCATCCTGACTGGCAATCTCGTGTACGGACAGAAGTGGCTCAAGTCTGCGGAGACAGCTTTCCAGCTGCAGACTCGGTCTCCCGCCTGAAAACTGTAAACACAATGCGCGAGCCGCAGTTTTGAAACTAGCTAGTAGTCTTGTACTCACTAGCATTACATCTCCTCTACAATTATTTCTGCCAAAGTGGTAACCTAACAAAGGGTGTTTCTTGCAGGTAACCATGGTGATTCAAGAAGCTTTGCGTTTATATCCACCAGGGGCATTTGTGTCGAGGGAGGCGCTTGAGGAGATCCAGCTTGGAAATGTTACCATTCCCAAGGGAGTATGCTTATGGACTCTGATACCAACTCTGCATCGGGACCCTGAGATTTGGGGTTCAGATGCAAATGAATTCAAGCCAGAGAGGTTCAGTGATGGCATTTCTAAAGCTTGCAAGTTTCCTCAAGCCTATATTCCATTTGGATTGGGTCCTCGCTTGTGCCTGGGCAGAAACTTGGCAATGGTTCAGTTAAAAATTGTCCTCTGCCTTATAATCTCCAAATTTACTTTCTCTTTATCGCCAAAATATCGTCATTGTCCTGCTTACAGAATGATTGTGGAGCCTGGGAATGGCGTACATATTCTAATTCAAAAGATCTAACAGGGTTGACCAATTTTAACGGGGTTCTAGTTACAAGGCAGGAGTTTAGTTTATCTTGTTATTTGTTTTCTTTATCGTCCTGTTTGGTACGGCTCTTAAATCTGGATCTCTTGATTGTGTGAAAGCTTATAATATTGCTTCTATTGTTACACTTTTATGTTTTTTTTTATTCATTAAATAAATCTCAACCACCTGAAGCTCTTAACCAGACAACTTATTTTTTTAGAGAAACCAGTCATCTAATATAATAAAAATCAAAGCCATTGCGACAAAATTTAATTTCTGTGTATGGCTTTATTTATTGATGCCCAGAAAGTCTTCGACCTCTTAGTCCTCATTAACTTTTTGTTATTTAGGAAGGAAATTACGTGTTTAAGTTTGTTTGAATTTATAATTTAAAAAATTTAATCAGTATGCATATAATTGAATTAATATTTAATTGAGACATTATTCAATTTAAAAAGCAAGTTATGAGAAATAAATAGAAGAATATCACTATAAAAAAGGAATCAACGAGATTTATATTTGTTTGTCTAATTCTAATTGTATTTAATTTGAAAATTGAAGTTCAAAAAATTTTGGTTTAGTGATAAAGAAGAGGTTCTAATACAACGAGTCAGTTTGTTTAGTTAAATAATGTAATTAAAAAAAAAAACTTGAAAATTGAAGGGTCATCTTGAAATGTTTTCTGTTAAGCTTTTATGTTTGTAATTATTTTACGTGATTTCATTTGGTTCGTGAAAATTAATTTTTAAAAAATATTTTTGGTAAAATGTTTATATTTTTGGAAGAATGGAAAATTTTTATTGTTTGCAAGTGTCTATAAAAAATATTGTTATTTATTTGTTGTTTGATTTTTTTTTTAAATTATTTTTTATTTAAATGATATTGATATAATTATTAAAATATTAAAAATTATTTATTATTAAAATTATTAATTTTATTAAAATAATAATATTAAAAATAATATTATTTATTAATAAAATATTAAAAATATTTATACTATTGAAATAATTATATTCTATATCAAAAGTGTTTATTATTGAATCAAAAGTTTTATTTATTTATAAACAACTCTTTTACGTGAAAACAATTTTCAAAAAATGAGTTTTTTTTCTTGATTAATAAATCATTCTTCATCGTCAATTTTTTTTGTCAAACAAATACAGAAATTATAAAAATTATTTTATGCAAAATGAACGGAGACTATGGATTTAATTTTAAATTTGGACTAGTTTGTTTCCTCGTTGTTCCTAGCTTTTCTCCGATTCAGAGGAGCGACCTCATTCTGCTCACTTTTCTCAATCGATGCAGAATTATTTGCCGCCTCATCTCTTTCCAAATACATTAAAAATGAAATCTCTGAACAATGTAGATACATGGGGATGCAGCGTTTTCTATTCGCTTTTAGACTTTCATTTTCATCCATTTCTTATTTTAATGATGTTTGTTATGCAAGACAAGCAGGCGGAGATCGAGTTGTCAATGGCTTCAACAATTCAACAAACACTCTTTCGAATTTTTTGCAGAATGGCAGACCAGATTTCACGAATTTTTCCCTGTTTCATGTTTGTAATCACAATCAATCCCTTTCTTTAGTCATTGTTACAGCACCAAGCTATCAAATTGCAATCCAATTTCAGACTATGTGAGCTTTCGAAATCTCCTTTCGATACCCATTTATGGTTCGACTCTTAAATCTCACTTGCATTTTCCTAGTGCTAAAATGCATTGTTTGGTCCTCTTACACTTTACAGTGCTTCAAAGCTAAAGAAATGATGAAGTTAAGGAGTAGTCTTTGTGGGGTTAGCATGCGAGGATCGTCTTCCCAACTTCTTCAACGAACTATTACTTTCAAGTGCGTTGCAATGAGCAACAGAACCAGAACAACTCGTCAGAGTCAGAGCTGCCCGTTGTTGTATACACAGCAGGTTAGAGTTATCACTGTTACTTCATTTTCCTTCTTCCCGATTAAAGAAAAGTATACTCTTGGTGCCTTAGATTGGTAATGAGAAGAAATTCCCTGTCATACTTGTTACTCAATTTCTTCATAGTCGAACATTGCAGTTGCAGTAACTTTACCATACCAAAACCTCTAATACCTGTTCTGGTTTAAAAACGCTGAACTTAGGATAGGTTTCACTAATGATGAGGGCCAAAGGATGAGTGTGCCAAGCATATTTCCAATCCCGAATAATTTGTAAAACATTTTCAAAGTTACATGTGCTGGCAGACTGGTTTTATAACTGCAGTACTTAGCAAGAAATCTAACAAGGTGGTTGTGCAAAAATCTATTGCTCAATTCGCCAGTAGATATTTAATGTGTAAAATATATGATGCCTTAAACACACATAATATTTGTGTCATATATGAGTTGTACCTTGTCATCTGCACTTTCTATCAAGAAACACTTACTTGAATTGCATTTGAGGTATTTCTATGTACTCCTGCAAACATTGGTCTTTGCAAATTTTTTCTATGGTGCTTGCATTAAATTTTATTTATCTAAGGGAAAAAAGATAGTTGCTTTAATTGATTGAGTAACAATAATATTTTCCTGCATTTTAATAATATAAATTCAAATCCATCTGGCTAAATTATTGTTTTAAAAATCTTGACAAATCGTGAATTGTTTGAACATCCAAATACGCTTAAAATGAAGATGTTCTTATTACTTTCTTTCCTTTTTGTGGCTCCTTTCTTATATCACTTTTCAAGTTGAATTGAGTATAAGGCAAACTTTACTTTTGTCTTTATTGACGTAATCAGAGCGTCATTGTAATAGAACATTTATTTTCTCAGCGTACATATGTCAATTCTAACTCTCCATGCAGCGAGAACCTTTTTCTGGTCATTATGTGTTCATAACTTGGGGAATCCACCAGAATACCTTAAATGGTAATTAATTAATTGCCTTATAAAACGGCCTTGTTCATCTCATTAGAGCTTCACAAGACAGAGGAAAAAATATAGGTGTTGTCAAAATTTAACAGAAAAATAATTCTGTCATCGCTAGTTTGCTCAAAAGAGGCAGAGTAGGTAATGTTCTGTTCATGCATTTTATGTCTAAACATTACTTGCTAGTATATTAGATAAAATTGGAGTGCATTCTCTCGAGCATTTTTTAAATGCTCTATTTGGTTCACCATTTTTAATCTAAACCATGATAATTTTTGAAATCTTGTTTCTGTTTCTGTTTATGTGTATTTATTTACCTATTGTTGTTTACATCTTTAGCTCGGATTATGATATTAAGATAGCGTTGGTATATCTTCTTTAGTAGATCGATTGCGTTTATGTTAGATGGGGAAAAGTTTTAAATTTTATTCCTGAAAAAAATGTCTGAATCTGGTTTTTCTGTCAAAAAGAAAGAAATTATTTTTTAGTGCTAAAAGAAAATTTTTGATTCATGATATGCTCTGAAAAAATTGTTCAATCTTCCCCTATCTCTTTAGACAATGGGTTGTTGTGATGGTTATATGATAATGCTAAAACTACTATTATTTTGGTGCTGACATTCTTGAGATTTAAAGTAGCTTGGTTTAAGACTTTTCAAGCAGTATTTTTTGGAATCAGAACTGTGTGTATAAGTTGGCCATTTTTGGCATCAGAGATAAATATTGTTTATTGGATGGGAGTAGAGGGTGCCCAAGGAGGACGTCAACATACCAAAGGAAAGAAGGAAGCACGGAATGGAAGATATAGCTTAATTCATACGGAAAATATATGTCTAGAATTCTTTATTGTTCCTTTTCCTCTAGTACTCTTATCCGTTTTTAGTTGGAATTTCACTTGTATTGATGTATTTATGTTTGTAAATGTGTATCACTGTTGTTGTCGTATTGCCATTGACATTTATGATTTCACTTTTTAAACAGGCAGACAGAAACAAAGGGAAAAAAAGAACTCTGTTGCATTTTATAAAGCTACAAAATTGCATCTTATGGTACTTATTGTGAGAACTTACAAGAAAAATACATTATGTTAAGTGGGGAATATAGAAGGAGTCCACGAATAGTTGAACTGGATGCACGGAAAGCACAAGAATCGAGGAGCCAAAATATGGCCAATGTGATATGTGAAGTGATGGACGTGGAGGAACTGGATAAGGGACAAGATATTTTGAAACAAAAGCGCGGAAGGAAAAAGGTTAAGGTCAGAGCTGTCCAAGATCTTGTTGTTAATTCAGTTGAATATAAAGATCAGAAGGTACCTTCTGTGACTTATCCTTTTCAAACGTTTTACCTTGCAGTTATACACATTCTTTTGTTCTCTCAAATATAGAACTAGACCTGCAAAAATTTCATGCCCACTTTACTTTGAAAATTTAAGAAACAAAGATTCTTTTCGATTTTGATTTTATCCAAGTTGGATGAAACAGTGAGAGAACTAACAATGTGGAGCTAGAGAGGACTAACAAGGAGCAAGAAGTGTTGAATGCATTCCAATCATATGGCATGATGGGGAATGTGATGGTTAAAATATTGCAATACATGCTAAACACAAGATGCCAAGTAATGTAAAAGTATGTAGCAACAAAATTTCTTTAAGGGGAAGGTGTATAATATAGCGATAGAAAGTAATGGAGAGTGAGAGGAAGTGAGGTTGGTGAGAAAGCCGTTGATTTGGTATGTGAAGGGGCAATTTGTGGATTTGGGAGGTTGGTTCTATAGATGTATCTCTGCTAACAAAAAGGGTAACAAAATATCACTACGTTTTTATTGATTATGTAAAGAAAGTATTAACCAACAAAGGTAGGCCATCTGTTCTTTATGCTACATGATTAGTGAGTATCATTAAGAAAGTTTTGCACGTAATTAGGCTCTCCCTAATGGATATGACAAATTGGATAAGCATATCAAACCCATCTCTTTGAATGCCAGTCATTAGAACTAATTTAAAATTCCCTGCAAGGTCCAAGAAGTGATTAGATCATAGCCTTATTCTTTTGCATTATTGATGCCACTGCTGTCCCAGATTGATTGCTGTGTCAATTGCTGCTAATTGCTGCTATTGTAGTCATTTAAGAAATTACCAGGAGTTCCATGGAGTGGCTTCCATCAATGGAATTGTTATTCCTATTTTTGATGCTAGTGATCTCTTACATTGATTGTTGTGTCATTTGACGCTAATTGCTGCTATTGTAGACAATAAATTGAATATAATTTGAAAGTTTAAGCTGAGATCTTGATAACAAAGATCTTGAAAAAATCAAGTAGATTATGGCTTGTTATTTAAAGAAATGCTATTATATTTTCAACAAATGTTGAATTTTTATGAAACTAATATATGTGCAATTTTTGAATAATACTACTAGAATAGCTGTATCTCATTCACTAGAATCTTTCTCTTGATTATTTGTTTGCCTTCAATTGGACAGTCAAAAGTGCACCTCCTTCTCTTAGTGCATATATTTAATCCTTCTCTTAGGGAGCATAAATAGTAGAATGTATCTAGGAGCATAATATATTCCTCTAGCTTGAGTATCAACAGAGGCTGTCTTTTTCTGGAAAATGAAGGTGTTTAACGTGGTACCTTTTCAATAGAAAATATGCTAAAAGTCTATGAAAAGCAGGAGCTTGCCAAAGTTGGTTTTCTTATCCAAATATATGAATAAGTTGATAACACTAGTTTAATTATATCGTATATTTCTATGTTTGTTTGAGATGGCTATAGTTAATCCATTTTTGTTTACTTTCATATTATGTTAAAGCTTAGTATCAACAGAGGCTGTCTTTTTCTGGAAAATGAAGGTGTTTAACGTGGTACCTTTTCAATAGAAAATATGCTAAAAGTCTATGAAAAGCAGGAGCTTGCCAAAGTTGGTTTTCTTATCCAAATATATGAATAAGTTGATAACACTAGTTTAATTATATCGTATATTTCTATGTTTGTTTGAGATGGCTATAGTTAATCCATTTTTGTTTACTTTCATATTATGTTAAAGCTTATTTGATTCACCTGCAGACTGACACTGGGAATGATGAAGATCACCTTATCAATGCTGGTTAGCTCATGCTTAAATTTAAAATCGAAAGTGCAGTGTTATCATTTCTCATATGAAATCATGGTGATGTATTCATATTTTTTCACTTATTGCTCATGGTACGTTAAGCAGCTAATGTGCCATCTAGAGCTGCAACACCAGAAAAAAGCAAGCTTGAACTACTGCTTGGCATATTGCAGAGGTTTGTATTTATCTCATGGACGAATCAAGCTCTGATAGCTTTAACTAAGAAATATAATGGATTAAATATCTTATTTCCTTCCACAAGAAAAAAAAAAAAAGACTTCTGTGTTAATGATTGTTAAGAGATTGCATTTGCTGTTACTTTTTCATCTATTGTAGGAGAGACACACATAAATATTTGCAGAGCAGTAATGCGGAAGAGGGTGGGTACTTAGTAACTGTTTTATCTGTTTTCCTTTGGAACATTTCATTTTTCTCTGTCCATAATACTAGTCCCTTCAAATTTTCAAAAAACCTGTGATTTATTGGTTAACGTCTGAAAAACTTTAAACAGTTTATAATTTGTATCAAAAATTAAAAAGATAGACTGAAAATTATTTCACGTTAATATTAGACTGAAAGTTTGAAATTATTTCGATGTTGATATTTCACTGTTTTTGAAAATTTTTGAAGAGGCACTGTATTGGTGGAAAGGAACATATCTCATGAGTTGGCTAATTAACTATAGTTCTTAAACTGAAGGTTGAATTCTATTATGATGTCATCAAAGAACCAATGGATTTTGGCACGATTGCAAAGAAACTGAATGAAGGAAGTTATCAAACACTGGAAGAATTTGAGGTTTGCTTCCAAAATGGTTGCTTATCTATTTGTTTGATCACTTATTTTTGGGCTGGGGAAGACTTTCATGTTGTTCCAGAACTTAGGAATCAAATTGCATTCTCATGTTTCTTCTGATCAGTGACAATTATGTTATTATAGCAGCTTGAGGACACAGTATCACTTTTCTCTTTCTTGACAAATGATTTCTGTGGAAATTTGGAGCTACCATTTTTTATTTTCTTTTGGTTTTGAGGGGGGCACTCTAATTCTTTGAATGTTGATTGCAGTTATTAAATTTTAACTTTTTGTTGTCAAGTTAAAAGCAGTCATTGTTTGTTATTTCTTCCATTGTTTTGCGACACATGATTTGCTATTCTAAGAATATTAATCTGTGGTAGGCTGAAAATTTTACTACTTCCATCACAATGGTCATAGCAAGCAATGAGGGATGTTTGTGATGTTAAGAAAGTTTGGATCCATCTAGGTCCTATTTTACATCTATCTCTTCTGAAGTCACATACACCTTATAACCATCCAAATTTACATTGCAAGTGAACTTTAGGCTGTTTAGTTGTTGGGAAAGGGTCCTATGGATGAAATTACAGTCCCATTGCATATTTCAAAACCATGATGACCATGGATTGAAGACCTTCTATGGAGCTTGTTGTCATAGAAACTCTTTGGATCCATCAATTAATTGGTTCTTTTAATTCTTTTACACAGCATGATGTATTTTTGATATCCAACAATGCCATGCTTTTCAATGCTTCAAATACCATCTATTACAGACAGGTAAGTCAACCAAAATTTTACTCTATCTTTAAACTATGTAACAATATTCTCTGCATTTTAACCATAAATTGTTGATGTTCTCAGAATTTTCTTTGTTTCCTGAACCAAATGAATTTTGGTTTTCCAGGCACGTGCCTTAAAAGAACTAGCTACAAGGCTATTCCTTGCTCTTAAAACTGATCCTGAAAACTTTGAAACTGAAGCTTCCATGCGAAGAATGGGAGTTGGTAGGAGGTCAAAAGCTGACATTAGAATTTTGAACTGTAACTCTAACAACAAGAATAATACTGGAATTGGTGCAAGAGGTAGGTCATGCTACTCATTTGTGCGGTATCTAGTTTTTTTTCTTTTTTTAATCAATATTTAGTTTAAGCACGTCTATCTCCTCTTACTCCAAATTTATATTGACCAAATAAATGTTATTTTTCTGGTATAAGTATCAAATATTATGCAATAAAATAAATGCCTATAGAGATTATTATGAATATATGCAAATACAATGCATCAATATGTAATACATGAGAATGTGTTTGGTACACAAGATTATGATAGGATAGGATAAGATGATATTATGAATAGGATTAGATTAAATAATGTCATCTTGTCTTGTGTTTGATGAATGCAAGGATTCGGATAGGATAATTTATTTATTGGTCAAAATTATCCTTCCTCAAAGGTTATACAATTTAAATTATTGATATAATTTTTAAGGGTATAATAGAACATGTAAGTTCAATCCTATGGATTAAAAATAATTCTCTCTATTTTGGGAAGATTGAATCATCCTATACCAAGAGGATGATTAATCCTTCTTGTAATCCTATCCTTTTCTTAAGATACTAACCAAACATAATATAGGATGATTATTATCCTACTCTATTCATCATCCTATGCATCAAACATGACCTAAGCGATAAAGGTTGTCATATAACTCCCAAACATGTGCAATGGATACGTTTTAAAGCATATGATTTAAGATAAGCTTTTGCTCTTATCCTAACCTTATTTAAATTAATTTAATGGTTTTCAAAATTGCATTTGAACAGGCCATAGAGCTCAAAGAGGACTTGATGACTTTGAAGTGGAAAAGCGTCAAACTTATAGAGCATGGAATTCTTTTCTAAGTGAGAATGGATCATTAGTCTCGGCAATTTATAACAGTCCAAAGCAACTTAAACTGGTGAGTATTGTTTCTTCCAATTGAATATATATCTGCATCTTGCCAAATAAACAATCTAGGGACATGGTCTAAATATGTTTCAAAACCCTTTTTACTTCTAAAATATGTCAACTGTCTTCATTACACCCAAAGCAAGTGCACTTTATATGAGATCTCTATTAGGACTTTGTGGGCATACTTTAAACATGCAAGTGGCAGGTACTTGTGGGAATTAGTGTTTCGATTGGCATTAAGGTTGGAAATGTTGGAATTAAAGAATATATTGAGACTTCCGAAATATGGATAAACCAATGGATATAAATTATTGATAATGATTTAAAAGAAAAAAAAAAACAGAAATTCATAGTTTAAGTTTGAAAATGTTGAATAAACTTTCAAATTCACTAATTCATTAATTATGTATTTTTAACACTATGATTTATAGAGCATGAGATATGGATATATGGCATATGGTAGAAGACATAATGATGTGTGATTCAACACTACGAGTGATATTATACAGACTTAGACTATTTAGATTATTAAGTGTGGAAAAATGAGAGTATATTGAAAACTTTTGTGTTAAATCATACAAACACCATAGATTTAAATACAGCTAGCTAGAGAGTAAACTAGGAAACTAAATATTTCTAAATCTAATCCCTATAATCAAGAAATTGTCTATCTTGATATTCTGTCCTTAATTCTAGAGATACAAATTCTCAATTTTAGGGATACAGATATATACAGATTACAATCAGCAGATTACAAAATACAACCACTTGTAACTAAATGTTTTCCCACACTCCCCCTCAAGCTGGTGAATAGGTGTTTTCCATTCCCAGCTTGGAAATAATTTCCTGAAATGTCGCACTATTGAGGCCTTTAGTCAACACATCTGCAAGTTGACCCTTGGTTGATACATATGGGGTGCAAATCAATCCACTGTCTAGCTTTTCCTTTATGAAGTGCCGGTCTACTTCAATGTGTTTTGTTCTGTCATGTTGCACAGGATTGTGTGCAATGCTTATTGCAGATTTATTATCACAGTAAAGTCTCATTGGTCCATCCCATTTGATCTTCAAGTCTTCTAGAATAATCTTTAACCATAGTAATTCACAAATTCCTTGAGCCATTGCCCTAAACTCTGCTTCAGCACTTGATCTTGCCACCACATTCTGTTTTTTACTCCTCCAAGTTACAAGATTACTACCTAAAAAAGTGCAGTAGCCTGAGGTAGATCTTCTGTCAGTTACTGAACCTGCATAATCAGCATCTGTATATGCCTCTAGTACCAACCCTGAATTTCTTTTAAACAAGATACCTCTCCCAGGATTAGCCTTCAAATAGTGTAGTACACGGTAGACAGCCTATAGGTGTACTTCTTTAGGACTATGCATAAATTGACTTATCACACTCACAGCATATGCTATGTCAGGTCTAGTATATGAGAGATAAATAAGTCTTCCAACTAATCTCTGGTACATCTCCCTATCTACAGCAGTATCTTCATTAGCTTCTCCAAGCTTATGATTAGGATCTATAGGGGTACTTGCAGGTTTACATGCGAGCTTCCCAGTTTCCTTCAAAAGATCCATCACATATTTCTGTTGTGAGATAAAAATACCATGACGTGAGTGGGCTACTTCAATTCCTAGGAAATACTTCAATCTCCCTAGCTCTTTTATCTCGAATTCTCTGGCCAAACACTGTTTTAGAGACTCTCTTTCTTTTTCATCATCTCCAGTTACAATTATATCATCAACATATACTAATAGAATTGTGACCTTACCCGAATCTGAGTGCTTGATAAACAGTGTGTGATCCCCTTGACTTTGTTTATATTTCATTCCTAGCATCACTTTGGCAAATCTCCCGAACCAGGCCCTAGGAGATTGTTTAAGGCCATATAAAGCCTTTTTCAGCTTGCATACTTTTTGTGCTTCTAGATGACCCCCAAATCCCGGTGGAACTTTCATATATATTTCTTCTTCCAAATCACCATGTAAAAAGGCATTCTTTACATCAAATTGTTGAAGCTGCCAATTGTAATTTGCCGCCAAGGATAACAAAATCCTAATTGTATTCATCTTGACAACTGGAGCAAAAGTTTCCTGATAATCCACTCCATAAGTTTGAGTGTAGCCCTTAGCTATCAGCCTGGCCTTGTATCTTTCAATAGTACCATCTGCCTTATACTTTACAGTGAAAACCCATTTACACCTAACTGAATGTTTTCCTGCAGGCAACTCTACCAGTTCCCATGTCTTATTTTTCTCTAAGGCCTCCATTTCTGTTTTCATCGCCTGCCTCCATTTCTCATTGGATAATGCCTCAGATAATGTAGTTGGAATAGAAATAGTGTCTAGGCTCACAAGAAAATTTTTATGGCATGGTGAAAACTTTTCAAATGACACAAAATTAGAGATTGGGTATAATAGATGTTTAGTACATTCTCTAGTTCCTTTCCTAATGGCAATAGGTAGCTCATAATCACTAATTTTAGGAGAGTCATGCTCATTTTGAGAAATAGAATCAGAGACTGTAATTACCTCATTTCCAGAGTTAGGATTAGGTTCTTGGATTTGCACCGATTCAGGAGCTGAAACTTTCTTTCTTGAGTACACCTGTAATTCTTTCACAGAATCAAGAATAGTATTATCTTTAGTCACAACTTCTGTGTTTGGAATGGGTTCAAATTTAGAATCAATGTTTGACTTGGACTCTGAAGAAATGGGTTTAGGCTCAAAAGAATTAATGGGTGAAACTGTTTTGGAGGAGGATGACAAGTCAAGCAAAAAGAAGTCTTTATCCTTATCTTCTATAAATGATGTCTCCCCCTGAAGATAAGGTTGAGTAAAAAATGGTTTACTTTCTTCAAAAGTGACATCTGCAGAGACATAGAACTTTTTGGTAGGAGGATGATAGCACTTATACCCTTTCTGAGTTGATGAATACCCCACAAAGATACACCTAATTGCTCTCGGATCCAACTTTCCCCTATTATGACTGTGAACATGAACAAATGATGTACAACCGAATATCCTAGGTGTGAGGTTGTTTGTGGTATTAAGGTTGGGATAAAATTGTGAGAGTAGTTCCATAGGAGTTTTAAATCCCAAAATCCTTGAAGGTAACCTATTTATAATGTGTGTAGCAGTGAGAACAGCTTCCCCCCAGTAAGATTTGGGCACATTTGCTTGAAAAAGGAAGGCTCGGGTTGTGGCTAGTAAGTGGCTGTTTTTTCTCTCTGCCACTCCATTTTGCTGTGGAGTATTAACACAAGATGACTCATGGATAATCCCCTCATTTTGGAAATAGGTGGATAGACTCTGGTTGAAATAGTCTCTTGCATTATCAGACCTAAATCTCTTGATTCTCACTCCAAATTGATTTTGGATCATGTTTTGGAAGCTAAAAAACACACTATTCACATCTGATTTGGATTTAAGTAAAAAAACCCAAGAAACCCTGGTACAATCATCTATGAATGACACAAACCATCTTGTCCCAGAAATATTAGGAACTGTAGAGGGACCCCAGATGTCACTATGAATCAAGTAAAAGGGAGTAGAACTTCTTTTGTTGCTAATTGGAAAAGATATACATCTGTGTTTTGCAAGTTCACAAACATCACAATGAAACTCTTCAATGTTTAATCCTTTGAACAAGGAAGGAAACATGTTTTTCAAAGTTCCAAAAAAAGGGTGTCCAAAACGAAAATGATAAAGCCCGATTTTGTCTTTATTGGAAGATTGTTCAAAAAGAAATGACAAAGGTAAACTATTCTTGATATTACTTATGTTGTTGGATGTCTCAGATAGTATAGTCCCATCCTTCTCCTTAGCAAGTCCAATCCTCTTCCCCGAACCCTGGTCCTGAAATTCACAGTAAGAGGGATAAAAAGTCACATTGCAGTTCATGTCTCTAGTAAGTCTTTGTATAGATATCAAGATTAGTAGACAATCTAGGAACATGAAGAACATTTTTAAGAAATGAATGAGGGATTAATTTGAACATCTCCTAATCTTGCCACTGTAGTAAGTGAACCATCTGCAACAGTAATTTTCTTAGTACTAGGACATAGGGTATATGTACTAAACTTTTGTGAAAAATGTGTCATGTGATCTGTGGCTCCTGAGTCAATGACCCAAGAACTCTTAATGGACTTATCTGAGACATTTAATCCATGAGAATTAGAGACTTTACCTGCACCAGAGTCCTTACCTGAGTGTGCCAAGGAGCATACACCAGTAGCCTTTTCAAGAGTTCCCAATAAGCTTCTCAGTTTCTCAATCTCCTTTTATCCAACTCTCCTTGTTCCTGAGACTTTCTCCTGGTTTTAACTCCATTGCAGTCATGTGAGCTTGTCCTTGATTCTTGGCTGTCCTCCTTTATAACCCCATTCTTTGCTTGAATTTGAAGGTTTTCCATGTAGTTTTCCAGCAACGATCTCTGGTGTGCCTTGGCTTTCTTGCAATAGGTGCAACCAAAGATTGTCGCGATTTGAAGTTTTAGCCCGAATCACCTTTCCCATTCTCACTGACTGGTAATTGTTCTAAGCTTTGGTTCTTCCCACCATTAGAGACCATAACAGATCCTTCTACATGCACACTGTCAAGCATCACTCCTCTTCTGCTCTCTTCTGCTCTAACCATGGATATCACTTCATTTAAAGAGGCAGATCCTGTTTTCCCCAGAATTTGGACTCTGACTTGATCAAACTCAACATTCCAGTCCAGCAAGAAAATCATAGACTCGATCTTTTTCAATAAATTTCTTCAAAGTTGTTGCATCTTCACTGCACTTCATTTCTATGCACCGGTAGTGATCTGCCAAAGATTTTTAAGAAGAATAGCATACTCTGTGACTGACTTATTCCCTTGTTTGAGAGCTGCAGTCTTGATCTTGACCTCATAGACTTGAGCAACATCTTTAACTTTGGAATAGGTTTGACGAATTGATTCCCAAATGTTCTTTGGGCCGTGGGACAAAAATCATACAAGTGTCACTAATATCTGGCGTCATAGAATTCCACAAACCATGACATAACCATAGAACCTCTTCATTCCCA